ATATATATATATATATATATATATGTATATATATATATGTATATACACACATATATGCACACCTAACTTCTCCCTCTTTCCCTCTCCCTCAGTCCCTTTTCAAGTACGAGAATAGTAGAAGGAAAAAGACCACAATAAATGCCGTATATTTCCAACAACGATACCTGACCCACTTTCATAACTATTTCTATTTCACAGACCGACAATGTCCCCACTCCTGTATTGTGTGCTGACTAACCTTATCCGTAAATGATAAGCATATTGCCTAATACACGACGAGACGTTTCATCATTATTTTCCTAATTTTCAAAAGGAGGTTTCAGACATAACAATGGAGCTATAGAGACTGTTGAATATTGTGCGGAAAGAATATTAGTGATCATCGTTCAAAGCGTGTTTTTGGTAGTTTGTTCAATAGGCAGGGAAGAGGACCATAATAATATAATAACGGTCGTGATGACGGTTTTGATAATTTGATAATAACGGTTGTAACTGTAACGGCTATGATGATAACGATTGTGATGATAGCGGCTGTAATAGTAAAGGTTGTGATAACAACTTCGATAATAACAGTTGTGATAACTGTCGTATAATAACAGCTGTAATAGAAACGGTTATGAGTTGTAGAGGAGCATAGAGAAAGACGTAGGCAATTTTATTTAGCTTCTTTCGCGCGCATGATCCGTTTCCATCTTGGCATTTTGCTGGCGAGAGAAATGTTTCCCCGGGACTGGAAACAGGATTAGATCAATCATGATAAAGACGATATCCTCCTCAACAGAAAGTTAGCGTCTCGTTATCTGCGAGGGAATTAGGGAAAAGATTTTGGAAAAAATTGTTGATTGTAGCGGAATTCGCTTAAGTTCATTGCTATTTTGTGTGGAAGTTTCAAGTATACTGGTATTGATTTATTGTTATTAGTGTTTATAATGATTAGGAGAGAGAGAGAGAGAGAAAGAGAGAGAGAGAGAGGATGAGGGATAAAGAGAGATGGAAGGAGGGAAAAAGAGAGAGAAAAGGGAAGAGCGGAAGAGGGAGACAGAATCACACACACATACGCGCGCGGTTATAGATAATAGCTGAATTAATGGGTAACGAGCGTGGCTGTGTACCAGTGGACTCAATTCCTACACGCGCTCCAAGGTTAATATGGGCATCCAACGGTCTTTAACCACCAAATCCGCATGAAACTGGGCACCGTCCTACTAGCAACTGCGAGGGAATTTGTGATGTGAAACTAGGCCTTCATCTTATATATACACATGCATACCTAGATATATACTGAAATATAGATAGATATATGGCAACACGTAATTTCCCCTGACAATTATAATAATAATAATTAAAACCTTGTGTGTGTGTTGGAGTAGTAATAACTGAAATAACAATAACGTTAATAATGATAATCATAATAATCTGTAATACCTTTATAAAGAGGAAAAAAGTCATTGAAACTGTTTATGCATTAAATTTTACTTTTTATCATCGGAACGCGACCGACCTTCCAGAAGAGGATTCGCTGCACTCTTTAGGTAATCTTCATAATATCCCAGAGGGGATGAAATAAAGAACTCGAACCATTTTTTTTTCTGCTCTTTTTTCACCATTCCTGCACAGTAATTCACATTCTAAAAATCCTGTATTTACTTTGATCTTCACTTCTATCTACTAAGGATTGTCGAAGAGTATTTCTTTTTTTCTTTTCTTTTTTTCTTCTTTTTTTGCCGTTGGTGTATAGATGATCCACATTTTCTTCTTTCTTTCTATTTTTTTCTTCCGCTTCTTCCTCATCCTTTGTCCGATTGAGAATAAAGTCTTATTTTTCCGAAAATCAAACAGTCCAGAAAGTTTGTTTTAACGATATCCTGGCTGCTATGTTGTCAGAGTGACGTGTATTGTAGTAGGAGTTGTATGTTTGTGAAGGAGGTAGGTACTCTGCCCAAGGGTATCCGCGATGTTGTACGTGTATTTCTGCTTGATTATCAAAGACTTTTATTCGTATATCTTTTTTCTTTCCTTTCCTTTTCTTATGCGTACTTTTGTGATAAGCAAGGCATGAGGTAAAATTATTTTCCAGTAAAGATCTCGTTGCACGTTGTTGGTAGAAAGGCTATTCGTATTATTTCGCATGATGACTAGAAATAAGATATTTTACAAGAATTTGATCTTTATGGCTTTGCTGTTTATTTAGTTTTATTCTGTACACTTGATAACACCCTCCCACCTCTCTCTTTCTTTCTCTCTCTCTCTCTTTGTGTATATATATATATGTGTGTGTGTGTGTGTGTGTGTGTGTGTGTGTGTGTGTGTGTGTGTGTGTGTGTGTGTGCTTGTATGTGTGTCTGCCTGTCAGTCTATTAATCGGTCTGTCTTCCATCCAACTCACTCTCTCATTTAAGGAGAGGTGGGCCATTATTCTTCCCTTTTTCCTCCTATCCTCTTTAGCTCATCTTTTTTTTCTTCTTCTTCCCTTAACTGCTCTTCCTCCTTCGTTTAGTGC